GCATGTGGTGCTGGGGGATTGAACCGTGGTCCCTGTGCTTTGCTAAGCTTATTCTAAGTAGGTGCTTTAGACCACTGAGCCATCTCACCAGCCCACCTGTGTGGATTTCTACACAGCATCATCTGCTTCTTGTGGCTTTGACAGCTTCCTTGTGGAAAAAAAAAAGTTATCTGTAATATGCCAAACATTCACAAGTTGTGAGCATGTAGTTCTTTTTTTTCTTTCTTGATCCTGTGATAGTTACCCTTTTGACATTCCTGTGTATTTTTAACTGAAGAAAGAAGGGAAAAAGTTAACTTAGTAAATCATTATTACTATTAACATAACTCAAAATTTCTGTTCCCTAAAGGAGCTATTATTTTATTTTCATTATTATTCTAGGAGGACATAGCTGATGCCAACCTCTTTCCCCTTTTAAATGTCAGAATCTGGTCCACACTCAGCCTCTGTCCCGTTGTCTTCCCAGGATATTTGTTCTTATGTTCAGTATTTTTTATAGCAATGTATGGCCAGTTTACAGGCATATCTTTTTTTTTTTTAATTTTTTTTTCTTTTCAAAGTTTTATTGATAAACATATAGCAATGAGACAGTTTCAAATCTACAGGCATATCTTATTACTTGTTTTTAGAATTATGTCTGATGTGCCTTAGAGAGGAGACTTTTCTTTTTCTTTGTGTGAATTTTTGTTTTCCTGTTCTTTGTCATCTCTGAAGTACTATCCTTCCACATGGACCACAGGAGGAAAAGAGCTACAAATAAATGTATCCCTGCACTTGGGGCACTCAGCACTACTCTTGCCCTCGTGACACAGTAGAAAGCCACAGGTGTCCTAGTCAGGTGAGTGTGATGTCTGTGCCATGGTAGTTACTTTGGCCTTCTTCCCATATTAAATTTCTGAGATTACTTAGAAAGAAGGCTCTATCTTAGGGGGCGGCTTTTGATGGAAGCTGAAAGTAGGATAATACTTTAAAAATAGCATAGAAATAATCTAACTTGGGGCTGTGGAGATAGCTTGGTGGTCTAAGTGCCTGCCTGGCAAACACAAGGTTCCGAGTTTGATCCTTGGTACCTCATACTATGCTGGCCTTGGCTACTGTGCTGGCAGCCGAAACTGGGCGTGATGGTGCATGCCTGTAATCCCAGTGCTGGGGAGACTGAGACAGGAGGATCACTACCAGTCCAAACTGCATAATGAAACCCTGTACCAAACAAACAAATGGATAAATAAATATGATTAAATTTTACAAAAAGAAATACCTTAACTTGATTTTTTTTCTTTCCTGTTTATTAAAACCTTTATGGCTATATCTTTCAGGAAAATCTCATTGTCTTCCTGAGAAATACAAAGCCCTTAACTTATATGGGAAATATCTAAGAAATGCAAGTTTACATTAGGCTTTCCTATTTCTTTTTCCCCCCCTATTTCTGATAAAACTAGATTGCTAGCTTGTTTTGACATTACCTAGATGACCTCCATAAAAATATTCTTCTTTTTATTAAGGAAATACACAATTTTTTATTAACCAAGATGTTCTCAGTGAGAGGTAAATTGTTTCATGAATGAAATGGTTTGCTAGGCTTGTATAGACAGTAATTTTAGCAAGATTATAAGCAAAATTTGAATATCCTGAGGATCCATGATAGTGAACTTCTTGAATTTAGACTCCCTTCTTTCCAACATTAATGTCTCTATATTGTTTATTCTAATATTTTTTGAGAATTGGTAGACTAAGTAGATCTTCCCATTACTGTTTCACTTGTTCTTAAGTCTGTAGTGAGTGACTTTTGACTATGTGTCATGGAATACAATTCTATGTCAGATAAGCTGCTTCTAGTTCAAGACACTATTTATTTTATTTATTTATTTATTTATTTATTTATTTAATTTTTGTGGAACCGGGCATTGAACTCAGACCCTTGCGCTTGCCAGGGAAGCGCTTATTCCACTGAGCCATCTCCCCGGCCCTTATTTATTTATTTTTAATGTATTTATTTTTAATGTATTTGGTTGTTGTAGGGTCTCTCTATGCAGCTTGGACTTGTGAGAAGAGCTCTGAAAAAGTATAAATTAGAACAGAGAAAGTATTCAAAAAGGGATCATTAACAACAATGAAAAAGTCAAAAGAAGAGATAATGAAGAAAAATCCAGTGGTCTTAAGGAAGAACTTATACCTGAAAAATTAGAAAGGGTGAGATGAGTTTACCATTATTATTTGCTAAAATGTATGCTGTTTTGATTCTATTCTGAGTATAACATTTTATTTAAATCTGTAAATCTGGGCCAGGGAGCTGGCTCAGTGGAATAAGCGCTTCCCTGGTAAGTGGAAGGGACTGAGTTCAATCCCTGGTTCCACTAATAAATAAATAAACCTGAAAATCAGAAGTCATTTGTAGTATTTCGAGACCATTACATAAGAGCCATTGTTAACTCCGAGTGACAATATGCAGAGTTTTAACAGTAGTTAACAGTACATAGGAGGGGGGACCTGCGCGGGCGGAAGCGGAGCGAAGATGGCCCGCCGCGCGGTGGCAGCGGGTAGCGCTCGCGAGCTTGGCCGGCCCGCACCAGCTGGCGCGGCGGCTGCTGCGCGCGCTGCTCTGCCTGCACCGCGTGCTGTCCGCCCGGCTGCGCGCCGGC